AGCTCTCCTCAACATCCTTGTCTTTGAGAAGTATAAAAACATGGGTTTTGCTCTGATAGTCCCAGGAGAGCAGTGACGGGCGCTTTCCCCACGCGTTGGGGAGGAAGCACTGGGGCCAAGTGTCCTCGTTTCCTCCGAACCCATGTGCAGAGATGTGGTGCAGGAGAACAGGGAAAGGAAATAGCTGAAAGCAGAGAGAGAGGAATGGAAAGACAAAACAGTGAATGAAGAAGTGGCTCTGCTGGGGGGGGGGGATGACAGGCATTGCAAAAGGCATTAAAAACCGTAATGAGAGATTTCGCTGCACAGTTTTCCCTTTCTGCTCTCATTTTCCCAACCTGTTTTCTCTAAAGATTCTTTTGGCTGTCACATGCTGGTTTTGCCTTTAGCAGGGGTGGTTTATGGTTAGGTTAGATCATCCCTGCTCCTCTCAGGTGAGTCACTGATCAACTGACATGGATATTTCAGAAGAGTTTTTGCTATTTGGAGAAATGCTTGTCATGTGTTTGATCCGGAGCGTGTTCCTTGAGGAAGAACTTGTGCAGATATACCCCACGTTAAAAATGTCTCAGAAGGAATTTACTTGCATCAGTGCTAGAAATGTTGTTACCTGTAAGAACTGCTCTGACACCGGTCACCCACGTCACACGCTGGTTTTCCTTTTTTATGGGGTGACTTCTGCTTCTGCAGAGACATTTGGAGGTGGCATCAAGCACGTGCATGGCTGAAACAAAGCACGTTTAAAGCCCTTCTTTCTGTGAAGCCTTCTGCAAAATTACACTTGCAAATATGATTGGAAACAGTGCCCAAAAGCACCCCAGATAACAAGTAAAAGGCACCAGTATCAGTTAGAATTAATGCATTTTTTGCAATTTGGTGTTTGAGGGAGCTTCTCCGCGGTCCCTGCCAGCCCCTGCGGATGGGCAGGGAGCTGAGCTCTGTTTGTGTTATCCTTATCCTTTACCCTCTGCAGGAGGAGGGAGGAAGAGGAGGAAAATGTCTTTGGGTCTTTTCTTTTCTGCTTCCCTTTCCCCCCCCCACCCCGCCTTACACCTGACATCAGTTTCTCAAATTGCTGCATTCTTTGCTCACAAGAGAAGAATTTGCATTTTTCTTGGTACTTGCCTTCAGTAAACGGCCACGTGGCGTTTTACTTTTCAGCAGTTCCTTAAAGAGCTCCCTGGTGGCTGATGAATGCAGAAACTGTCGTAAACCAAACCACCCTTCCCTCCCCTTCATCTCGCCTGCTGCTTACTCAGGGAGCCTCAGACGGCTTTTGATGACAGAAGCCCAAAGTGCTGAGTAAGCAGATGTGGAATCGCAGTGACTCTGAAGATGCCTCGTTTCCTTACAGACTTTTTGCCTTCCCCTGCTCTATGTGTACGCACAGATTCTGGGCGCGGTGCTGCGCTCTGCATTAATTGCAGCAGGGATGAAGGGAAGGCTGCGGTTCCCTCCCGCTGCTGGTGTCTCAGTTTGGATGTAAATACCCCAGTGATGCTCCACACGGGGGAAGTCAGAGTGGAGGTGGGGAGGGAGGAGGCTGGTGTAGAAGGGCTGCACAGAGGTGAGTCACTTACAGGCATGTTTTGGCCCTGGAGCTTGGGAATTTGATGAATCTTCTCACTGGAGCTGCTGAAAAATCATGGTGTGGGCAGTGGGACGATCAGCTTTGTTCTTCAGTTCTTTTGCTGGCGTTTGAGCTGGTGGATGTAACAGAACTGACCAGTCCATCAGTGGTGGACAGCCCTGTGTAAATCTGAACAGAATCTCCCCTGCCCTCTGCCCTGGACTTGCTGTATGGTATTTTGTTTCTGAGGCTGATTAATATTTGTTTTTCTTCTCTCTCTCTTTGTTTTGGTTTCCAGACAAATGATGCTGCAGGAAATACCTGGAACTGGCTTTACTTCATCCCTCTCATCATCATTGGCTCTTTCTTCATGCTCAACTTGGTGCTGGGCGTCTTATCAGGGTAAGACACTAATGGCTTGTTTGTCTCCGCCTGGATACGGAAAGGCAAGATGAGTTGGTTTTAGCACTGAGAGGATGCAGCTGAAAAGGAGAAGATGGGGTGATAGATCACACTGGATGTTGTCCCCCTTCACACATTTCCTGCCTTGTCCTTTCCTTGCGGTCGAATATTTCTGTAAGACTATAGAGCCATAGGATGGGGGATGGGCTGGTGAAAAAAACCATGAATTGAGATGATTCTGAATACAGACCCAAGAGTTAATTATACTGACTTGGGTCTGTGCAACCAACACTTTTTCCTGCATTGTCTTGAAAACCCATCAGGAACCGACTGGTGCCAGTATAAATACTCCAGTGCTGGAGCTGGACATCAAAGTGTTCATAATGCATTTGGTCTAACCGTGCAGTGTGGAGAAATGTGAAGCTCAAACAAAAGGCAATTAAAAGATCTCAGGTGGTTGTTTTTGTGTTTTTTTAAAAAACCTCTAGCTCTTTAGGCCAATGTCTGGATTTTGGGGACATACTGGTCTCTTGATATTCAAACCCCAGGGTTCAGCCAAGGATTCGGTGTTTGTTGCATATGAGTTTTGGGTTTGGGCCATGGTAGAGATCAAGCTGCCAAGTGCGAAGCCTTGCTGGAACGTCCTCATAGTCTGTGGAAATTTGATCTGGAATTAACAACCTGACTCATCTTAACGGTTTGCGAGCTCTTAGACTTTGGCACCTCATTTTGCGCAGTTTCTTCTTAGCCCATCAAGGAGATCTAGATTATATAGTCTTATCAAGATCTAGATTTATTTCTGGTTCTTGGCAGCATGGAAAGAGAGAAAAGAATTAATGCTGTTGAGTGGTAAAAGCCCTTCAGCTCTGCACTTTTTAAATTACTAGAGGAAGAAAAATGTTTTCCAAATAAGAGATTTGTGCTCAATTTTATTATTTTGTTAAGGATCCTTATCCACAAAGCGCATGGTGGGGCAAGAGCAGGGAGGCAGCAGTTTTGCTGGAGGACTGGGAGATGTGCTGCTACAAGAGGAGGTTGTGGAGAAGGCCATGTCGTGCACTTTGCTGTTCCTTCGGGCCAGGAATAATGCTCATGATCAATAACTGATCCAAGCCATTCGCCAGACGTCCTGTTGTATCAGAGGCTTTGTAAAGGAGAGCTTCGTGACCATGCTCGTCTGATGTATGATTTAAAGCCAGCACCAGCGCCAGGGCTGAGTGCGGTTCATTAGGTACTTCATCTTCCTCGTTCCGCGGTGGGGTCAGCCCACCTTGGCTGTAATGATAGTTGTGGTTTAAAACAAAACTCAGAAGCCTGCAGGCTCCTGCTCCTTTGTGCTGGATTCAAATGTGTTTGGTGACCGAAAAATGCAGACCTCTGGCTCTCCTGAAAGCCTCTTGTGGTTTGGGGCAAATTATCAATATTGTATAAATGTATCTTCTGTAAAAAATGCAGCTCTGTGCATCAGTTTTGCCTCTGTTAGTGCTAAGGATGATAGTATCTTTTTCACAGAGGGAAGCTTTTAAAGTTGGTTTTGCATAGTGGTTTGATGTCCTTGGCTGGAATGATTCCTGGGGAGAGGCTGAAGAAAATAACCATCACAGCACAGGTGCTGACCACACTGCTCAGCGGGCTGCTGGTGGGCTTGCAGCTAGTGAGGAAGGAAAGAAACTGGGTATATGTGCATGGACTGGTGATGGGAAGACACCAGTAAGATGGAAAGGCCCTCTAAAGGCAGAGACTGCTGCCATAATATTCTCTAGCCAAGAGCCCCAGACAGCACCGTAGGAAAAAAAAAAAAAAAAAAAAAATTTCTGCTGGAGGTGATAATTTGTATGTCTGTGCATGGAGAAGTGGTCATTGGCAAATGCATGTGGGCTCCCATAGGGTACAGTTTCACGTAAGGACATTACTCCATCCACAGCCCAGTGACAGTGTCAGCTAGTGGCTCCTGCAGCGGAGACTCTTGGCAATATCCCATGATCCTGTTTCAATAAAACAAAGTTGATGTTGGGTTGGGAGTTCAACAAATAGCCCATGAGCAGGGTTAACTCCGAAATCACTCACCTGCTTCTTATTTTCATCACCTGTGCACCTCGTATGTGCCTTTAATATTATCCTGGCTGTGTCCTGGGCGTGATGCGGTGCTCTGCTCTCCTCTGCACATTACGGAGCAGGAAGAGCAGAGTAGAAAGAGGGGATGTGATGCCCCCAGGAAACAATCGCAAGGCTGAGGTTAGGTCACTGGTTTCCCAGGCTTGTGTGTGATTTTTTTCATTACCGTCTTCTTTCACAAAACTCCTCTTGGTCAGGTTGTATTTTATTTTCCAGCACTTTGCCATATGCATCACCAGCATGAGGGGGTGAAGCTTCAGCACGCCGATGTTTGTACCTTGGAAAGCCCCAGAAAAAGCTTTTACCTGAGTGTTTTTCGTTGTCGTTAGTTTTGAGCTATTTCCTCTCACGTATTTGTGTTCCTCTGTGGGCAATAAGGAAGCTACAAATTTCTGAAGCAGGTATGCAGACGCTATCACAGATTATGGCAATATAAATAATCTGAAATGACAGCAAGTTATTGAGCTTCCTACTGACACTAGATTATACAGAGTTTTGCCATAACTCCTAATGGAATTTTCTGCCTTTCTCTAGTTATTTGTGAACCCATGTCAACACTGGGCAGATACGAGTGAGCTTAGCTCCTGGGTTTCTCCGTTTGAGCAGTGTAGGTAGGTTGACCTGACTAGGAACTTGAGTCTCAGCTGCTAGCAAGGCGTTTGCATTGCAAATGCTACCGAAGAGATAACTTGTTTTAAAATAAAGAGCAAACAACCTTTTCCCTCTGCTGATTCTTCTGGAATTATAATAAAGGCAAAGGTAGTGATCCATCCAAATCCAAAGTGATGGGGAGATGTGGAAATCTGTAAGTGTTGGTAAAAACTTGGTATTAAAATAACCCTCAATCTTGGGTGACAGTTAATATGACAAAAACCTCTGAGAACCTGGCTGAAGATGTAATTAAAAGCATGTTGATTTCGTAATTCAGATTAAATGAGACTCTGCCTGCTGTACAGCGTGTCCTCCTCGTGCGTGCTGGTTGAAGCACTGCCAGTACTCTTGTCATCGGTTAATATTTAAATATTAAATTTAATATTTAATGCACCTAAATGGCATGCTCTGCCCTCTGTTCCGTTCCCCTCCCTGACGCAAGCACTGGGGGCCAGACCCAGCAGAGCTCAGCTCCCAGTATCCAGGTTTCCCCAATGATCCTGGGACACGCAGTGTGGAGTTACTGCACACATCTGGTTTCTGATGGTTAACACACTGCATCCCGTTTGCTGGGGAGTGGTGTCAGTATGGGTTTGTGTCCCTTGTTGTGGATTTACCTCTCTGCTCTTTGCTATGTATTCCCTCTGCTTTCTCGTTTCCCTCTCTGGTGCTTGATCCCTCCTTGAGCTGATAAAACTGAACAGCCCTGCAGAAACCAATAGAGCACTTGCTATGTATTCCCTCTGCTTTCTCTTTTCCCTCTCTGGTGCTTGATCCCTCCGTGAGCTGATAAACCTGAACAGCCCTGCAGAAACCAATAGAGCAGAAAACACAGGTTATTTTCTTCTGGATGAGTTTTTATTGAGTGCCATAGCTGATTCAAGAGATGATGAGGACTGTATAGGGCCGGGAGAGCAGAAGCAGGAGGAGAGGTTTCTCTCCCCTTCGATAGCATTAAGATATTTGCCAGGCTCATTTGCTTCTTCACGTGAACTGTAGAGGTCTGCCCACTTGGTCAAGATGAGAAGACACAGGCTGTGTTCTGCCCATCCACGTGCTGGGAAGCATCTTGGGGTGACTGTCCAAACCTGATACCTCCCCAGCTGTAGACACAAAAAAAAGGGAAAAGATGAATGTGGAAAAAAAACCAGTTTAGACACCTGGTTGAAGTTCACTGAACCGTCCATCTACCCAAAAGACGAACCAGGTTTTGTTCATACTAGAGAGCTGCCCTTTTGACTTTATTTCTCTGTTTTAACCATGAGAAGCCGTTCCAGCTGTGCTAACCTTGTTCCAGAAAGCTGGGACACCTCGGTTCCCAGACATTGGGCTAGCATTTTGTAAGGTTTCTAGTGCAGAGTAGAACAGCAGCAGTAGTGAAAATGTTTAGGAATTTGTATCTGTAATACATTTGTCTTGAAACATCTTTTTGCATTGAGTGGGGTGAGTGGTTATTCTTACTTATTGGATTATTTGTAAATTCTTTGTTACTGAGGTAGCAATAAAAGCATCCGTCACAGGGAATACAACCTTTCCAGAGAAAAAGAGACTGGCTGCCTCTGGTGGCACCGTGGGAACATTCTGTTTCCAAGTCACGCCAAGGGTTGACCCCAGCTGCCTTTTAGTTTTCCCTAAACACAGGGTTGTTGGCTGCTTGGGGTGTCATGGGATTTGGCTTCAGTTCTGACCCGAAAATGCCCTATGGTGATCCTGATAAATTTTTTATTGAACTCTGACATGATTCTGCAGTTTACAGTGAGGAGGAAAAAAATACCCCCCATTGAACTGAGAAGTCCTGACCAATGCTCATTCTTTTTCTGCCTTTTTACTCTTCTCTTGCTAGCCAGCCTCAGCCCTCTGGCATGTTTTGCCAGCGAGGGATGGGAACCCATCTCCATATTCCCTCAGCTCCCTGGTGTTCCATCCCTTAGCGGTGATTTCCAGTGCTGGTTTCCTCACCCTGCCGCTGTTCCCCTCCCATCCCTCAGCCCAGCTAGCAGCTTTCTTCTTTGGGCTGATGGGATTATGGAGTTTTCTGCTGCTTGGGTGTTGGGTATTAATTCTGCCTGGTAATGAGCTGGCTGACTCTGTACAATACATTTGTGGCTGTTTTGATGCTTCGGATTACACAACGCAAAGAGGATAAATGTTATCATGGGATGCTGTGAGGAAGATGATTTAAGTTCTTTTCAAGGCTAAGTGGTTTTTGGCACAGTTTCCCGCAGCGGTGGGGA